TTTTTTTGGGGCTTCTTTTTCTTGTAGTTGGAGGAGCGATGCCCAATAATGCCACAATTGTATTATTTTAGCACTTCCCTGCAAATTTGGAAATGGCACCCTTAAGACCCATTTTCTTTTTTTCCTTTCCACCATGTGAGGAGCCAGAAGTATGTTCTACCACGTTCACCTTCGCCCCTAGCCTCCACCTCTTCTTGCAAGCCCTTCCTCTCATATTCTTAACCGCGTGAGCAATTGTTCCATGTTTAGCTCAGTTCTCTTGAGCTTGAGGTCGGCTTGGAAGTCTTCTCAAAAGTGTGGAAGTTTGTGTATGATGGCCGCCACTTGGAAGGCCTCACTAACGCTTACCTTCTCTACATTGCATTTGTTGAAGATTACCTTAAGCTCCTCAGCCTGGGCTACGACTGATTTGGTGTCCACCATTTTGGAGTCCAACATCTTTCCAACAATGAATTTTTTTGTGTTGGCATATTCAGCTTGATATTTCTTATTCATGCTATCCCAAAGCTCCTTGGCAAGCTTTGAGTTGGCATAGACAGGGTACAACGTTTCGGCCAACCCCTCGAGAATATAGTTATTGTGGTACCAAGCTTGATTCACCATCGGCATGAGGGGGCCGCTGTCATAGGTCGCCTGGGAGGATCTTGCTTAAGGTACTCAATAAATTCCAAGACCGTTAGGAAGAACAACATCTTTTGTTGCCACATCTTGAAGTTCGTGCCATTGAACTTCGGTGGCCTCTGATCTAGACAGTGCTTGCAAGCATTGAGATTGGTCCAACTACGTTGGGCGTGAAAGGTCCGTTCGTAGTCTAGTGAGGTCTGACGAACGGATTGACCGGTACGTTGAATCCCATATTCAGTCCCATAGACGTGTTGACCGTTGTGGCTGAAGCCATAGTCGATCCGAAAAAAGGGTTCGTATGGCCAACGGAGTATACCCCCGTGGTTTCACGCCCATGGATGGGCCGGGGAGCGGATCCGAAGATCGAGCTCGGCATCGAAAAGGAGGTCATGGTAGCGCCCCCCACACTTGACCTGAAAGGTAGTGGTGAGGAGGGCACTTCCCAGGTGATCGATGAAGTTCCCTCTGGAGCTTCGGAACTCATTCTGTTGCCAGAGGAACCCACGATTCCGAATCCGAATTCCATCACTACGGTGCTACCTTAAGAATGTAGAAATAATACAACGAGAAAAAATAATAATAATAATCCGAACTTATAACATGTTTAAATTTTACAACAAAAATAAAATAAAAAAATAAGTACAAGAAGTCATGGGTGGTCGGAAAACGAACGTAGAAGGAAGGAAAGCAGAGTCCCCAGAGCTTTCCTTAAGGTAGTATCGTCCGCCTCCCGCACTGGCAACAATGTTGATGATCTCCTCCTAGGATAAAATCGTTATTGTGCCAAGTCTAGAGCGGTAGAACATTGCACCGATGTACTAGAATGAAGTAGAGTTATTCGCCGGAAGAAATGATCAAAAACAGAGAGAGAGAGAGAGTTAGAACGCAGAGAGCTTTTTCGAGTTGGTGATATCTTCTATGAACTCGTCCTCCTTATATAGGAGGGGAGAGACTCAAAGCGATGGACTGGGCGGACAAACCGAAGGGTCACGAAGCCCCCTTCAATGGTGCATGCATGCCAACACTTCATTATTAATGAAGCCAACACATGTTTAATTTTGTCTCGTAAAAAGATAAGGGTTCGGCCCACGCCCTCGCCACGTCACGACGCATCGCGCGCATGCACACACCCGCCACACGCCAACACGCGTTCTCGTTCGTGCGCGCGTGCGTGTCGTGCCGAGCCGGACGGACGATGGCGACGGCGGTGCGCGAGGGCTCCCTTGGTTCTCCCTCCATAAATTGCTTTACAATGCTATTAAAGACTAACATATAAATATATAAATATATAAATATATATATATATATATATATATATATAGATTTTGGTTCAAATGAGAATGCAATCTTATGAAAGAAATAAGAATGAATCTGGTGCTTTAAATTGTGAGATCTAAGGGTGAGGATTGCATCAAAATTAGGTGCACCAAAATGATTTGAAAATGCATCATGTCGAAATGCAGCAAAATCGTTTAAAAATGCATTATTTCAAAATCTGAGTGCAAGATGCAATCTAAGCTGCATGATGCATCAGATCCAAAGGCTAGATTTCATTCTTATTTCTTTCACTAAGGTGCATTCTCACCTGATCCGCCCCCTATATATATATATATAAAAGAAGTTCTACCAAAAGAATAAGTCATTTGGTTGCTTTTTTCTCTAAATAAATAATGATTTGTCGGGGTGGATTGCACAACTGGAAAGGTAAGAGGTGGACTACTGGACTTCCAGGTGCTTCGAAAGTAATACTCTACTTTGAATGCTTAGTGTTTTTATGAAAATATTAAATGCTTGATAGTTGAGAATATATTACTCCGCAAGTTATACTCCATTTGTTCTAATGATTTATATTGATACGAATTTTCAAATTTTTACCTTATTGTACTAATATTCAATATAAAGTGAGAATGATTCAAGCTTAAATATTGTCTAATTTAATTTTTTTAAAAAGTCAAAATAGACAAATACACTGTGAGGGAAGGTATGTCCTAATAAAGTACAAATGCATGGGACCCTCTTCCGCCCTTAAATTATGCGGCGGAATATTTGCTCCACATGCAGGAGGAGAATTGCGCAAGTGAGCACGTCTGTTCGCTCTCAAAGCTGCGAAAAACATGAGGATAACTTTTGATTTTCAATGTTCCAAAGTCGAACGAGAGATTTTATATCTTCGAATAGGATTTTCTCAATTTGATGTTTTATATAGCCAATGCAGACTAACTTTGATTATCTCATAATAAATTTTAAATTTTATACTAATAATAATAGTAATAAATCTTAAAAAAATTTTATAAGATAAATCTAATTTTATGACATTTTTAGATCTACATGTAAGGTTATTTATACTAAATGAAATATAAAAATTGGTTTAGTTTGACTGTTAAGTTATGTTAAACAATGATAATAAAATAATACTCCGTAATAATTATTACTCCCTCCGTCCCATAAAAAAGATTACGTTTCATTTTTTGCGCATCCCATAAAACACGTCAATCCTCATCTAAAATGCCTAAAAATTACCACATTTACTCTTTATTGTGGATAGGAGTCGTTTTGAAAGTTTTTTGGCGGTCGAGACGATATAGAAGTGTTTTATGGGATGCCCAAAAAATGAAACGTAACTTTTTTTATGGAACGGAGGGAGTATTATAATAGTATTAGTTATGATAGTCTTTATATTTTAGTTAACTTCATTCTATTATTAATTCATATTTTAGTCAGCTTCTATTATTAATGTATGTATATTCTGTCATGTATTCTATTATATTATTCCTTGAATAATACAATTATTATTCAATAAATTATACTCCAGTGGAGTATAGAATAAACACAGAGTGATAGAGGAAGCGAGTTTAATTAACATTTTTTTATATGACATAAAAAAATTAAAAATTTGACACTAGTGGACGGAAAGAGTAGATTAAGTTCGACCAATATGTGACATAAAAAAATTAAAAATTTGTCACTTGGGGAGCTGAGGGAAAGATTATTAGATCAAGAAATTCGACCAATATGTGACATAAAAAAATTGACACATAGGGACAATAAGAGTGTTTTTAAAATATATGATTAAAATATAATATGGAAAACTTTATATTTTTATATCAATTTACAAATAAAGTAACTTTAAAGAAAACTTTTTTTTGTACAGTATATTGTTTGTAATAATGAAGATAATATTTTTGAGAGGAGGGTAGTAATTTAATTTAAAAAGAAAACGTTACCTAACGCAGTGTTTGGTTGGAGGTAGGTGAGGTAGGGTGAGGTGAGATTTAGAGGCTACCTTGTTTGGGGAATCAATCGGAGAAGGTAGCAGAAGGTAGGGGGAGGTAGCTTAGCCGCGGAACAGTGATAAAAATCCGCCCGCTGAGGTAGGTTCTTCTTCTTCTTCTTCCTCCTCCTCCTCCTCCTCCTCCTCGGATTCCACTTCTTCCGTTTTTGCGACTGACTTCCGGGATTTCGCAGGGGTTGTTTCTCCTTCTTCTCAGATTTCTTTTGCTTTCAATCTCTTTCTTTTTTTGCTTTCAATCTTTTTCGTTTTCTTTTTTTTTGTTTTTTTTTTGTTTATGGTTTTCTATTTTTTAAGCTTATGTTTTTATTGTTTTCTTTGGTTTTACTTTTCATTTTTTCTGTTTTTCAAATTTATTTTTTGTTCTTTTTCAATTTTTTTCCATTTTTTTCAGTTTTCAATTTCTTTGTTTTAAAAAGTATTTTTTTCTATTTTTGTAATTGATGGCCACTGGAGAAGGAAAGAACCAAATTACTTAGGGGTATTTAGGTAATTTTTTGTGTTTCTTACCTTACATTACCTATTAAATATCCAAACAAAATTTTTCAATTTCTTACCTTACTCTACCTACCTTACATTACCTACCTTCAATTACCTACCTAATAAAACTTTACCTACCTCCTACCAAACACAGCGTAAGAAAATGAAGTAAGGTGATTGAGATGGTAACGGGAAAAAAAATTGAACGTGCCTAAATCAACTTTCACATTAGAAAAATGCTAGGGGTACGCCAAAGGTGTACCCCAAATATCCCCCACCCTCTCTTTGTCCACTAAAAAAGGCAAAAAAATTCAAAAAAATTAAGTAAATAAAAATCAAATAAAAATGTGTGGATGAAAAGAAGGTGGTGTACATTTGGGGTACACCAAAATGGTGTACCCCTAGCATTACTCACACATTATTAGTCAATTACATTTTATTCGTCATCACTCATCAGTGATGATTTTTTGGAATATAATGGCCTGGAGTAAATTATGATCTACGCAGTCATACGGATCGGAGTATATATATATATATATATATATATATATATATAATGGGAGCCTATCTAAGTATAATAAAATATACTTCAATCACCATAGACTAGAAAGAAATTCCCACAGTTGTTTCATTATAATATTAATAATAATAATAATTAATAATTAATAATAATATAGCAAAATGAAGAAGATAATAACAGTATTGTTTGTGATTCTTTATCTGTTTCTTCACAAAATATGATGAGCGCAGTAAGGAAACTCATCGTGGCGCCACTTTCTCCATCAAATCTAGCCCCTCAGGCTGGGGAGGTGATTGTTCAGATCGTGGAAGACACAACCGCCTACACTAGTTCTGTTGTAGAAAATTCAAGCGTCGAGCCACGCGTCGAGGATGACAGGAAGAGTGGGTCTGATGTCATGGATACTAGTGCTTGTGCTAGAGCTCGAGTTGTTGAGTCAACTTACAAGTCCGAGTGCCTATCAGCACACTGCCCCGATGGTGTTCTTCTGATTGTGACTGATCATGTCCCTACAAATGGTGTTAATGGAGACAACCATTGGCGAAACCTCTCTATCTTGAAGAAAGTTTCCTCAGGCAACAATGTGATTTTTTATGGATGCACAAAGGAATTTGAGACGACAGCTATTGAGGTTATTGCCTTTTGTGGTTCTAAATGTTTTACGCAAGAGGACATCGTTTTCCAACCGTTGGTTGCATGGAGCAGTTCTATTCATACTGACGGTGCTTTGGGCCCCACACATTCTTTTGGTGCTCCAAGGATCGAAGTGTTTGACCCCGGAGGATGGACGACGAACGGTGCAATTTTTTCCCGTTTTTTATTTGATTTCCAACTTGAGGACAAGTTGGTTTTCGAGGCGGGAAGAGTGATACATGACTATATTTAGTTATTTACCATTATTATTATATTAATATTATTATTTATGGTTAGATAATTATATTATTATTAGGAAGTATTATTATATTAGGTTATTAGCATTTTAATTTATTTAGTTACCTTTCATGGCTAGGACTCTTTAGATCAACCATTTATATATGTAGCCATTATGCATGAGTTTATGGAATCAATAAAGAATAATCATTTTCCTAAACCCTAATCTCTTCCTCTTCTCTTTCGTTCTTCTCTCCCGCAGAACAAAGATTCGCGGTTCTCTCCCTCTTCTCGTCTCTTTTTCTCTTGGAGCTTGAAGAACGCTCGAAGTTCTTCTCTATCCCGATACGATACCGTATCACTATGCCTTGCAAATAATACTTTTCGGGAGGTTCTCGGTTTGACGAACCCGGTGGATATTTGGAACAAGCTGGAGAGCCGGTACAGGTCGAAATCGTTGACAAGTAGGCTATACTTGAAGAAACGATTGTTTGGTCTCCAAATGGGCAAATGGCGGAGGAAGCTAACTTTAATGGACACTTGGATGAATTCAACAAGATTACAACAGAGTTGGAATCCATTGATGTGAAGATTGAAGAGGATGACAAGGCGGTGCTTTTGTTGGCCTCATTGCCTTCATCTTTTCACAACATCGTGACCACGCTTTTGTTTGGAAAAGAGACCTTAAAATTTGATGAAGTAGTTGCTGCGTTGTTGATGAACGAGACTCGGTGGGGTGGCAACTGGGTATCAAATGACGGTCAAGCTTTGGTAGCAAAAGGAGCTGGTCGGGAACGAGGACGGTCTAAAGAGAGGGGCGGCGTGTCCCAACGCTTCAAATCGAGTAGTAAAAGCTTTCGGTGTTACTACTGCGATGAAGAGGGTCATTTAAAAAGGGTTTGTCCAAAGAGGAGGAAGGAAAAGAAGGACGGGAAAACACCCGTGACTGCGGTTGCAGAAAGTTTGAACCAAGCAAGTGAAGAAGACTTGTTTTTGGCAACCACAAAGAGTCGAGGTAAATCAGATTGGATATTAGATTCGGGTTGTTCGTTTCACATGTGTTCAGTTAAGGAACAATTTGATACGTATCAAACTTGTGATGAGGGTGCTGTGAAGATGGCAAATGGTGCATGGAGCAAGATTGTAGGGGTAGGAACAGTGCAAGCATGTTTGATGGCGTGGTGAGAACATTAACTGGAGTGAAACATGTACCGGGTCTAAAAGGAAATTTGATTTCATTGGGGGCTTTAGATTCAGAAGGCTGCCGAATTTTTGCTCAAGGTGGAGTGTTAAAAATTTCTACGGGAGCAATGATGGTAGCAAAAGGAGTTTTGTCAAAGGGCTTGTATAAATTTGTTGAAAAAGATTTGACACGGAAGGTGTCAGAAGGAAAAATAACAAGTGCAACGAGCGGAGCATTTGCATGGAAGAAGCGAGTGACGTTTAAAGTTTCTCCAGTTGGTGGAAGCTATGACCTCGCCGGAACGAGCGAGGTGGAGCCGGACCGAGTTTTATTATTTAATCAAGGTGGAGTTTGTTGAGATATTTTTGATTAAATAATTGAAACAAAAAAAGAAAAAAATAGATGTAGCTTGGTGGAAACAACCAAGAAGTGAGTTGTAGGAGAGCCTTTAGAAGTTTTGTTCTTTTCCTCTTCGAGGTGTGAGCTAGAATATTCCCCACCATTATGTTTTTGGCTATTTAAAAGCCATGTATGGCACAATACGGTTGAGAGGGAAGAAAAAAAAGAGAGAAAGGTTAAAGAGAGAGATGTTACACAAGATATCACCAACATTGTGTGAGTGAGTGTAGGGAGTAATTGGTTTTAGTTACTCGGAAAAATACATCCGGGTGTAGGGTGTGAAAAGTTTGTTTATAAGTGTCTGGTATTTAGCACTTGTAAACAGGGAGAGTCTTTTGTGTATCGTTCTGAAATAGTAAGGATATAATTTTTCTCTCATATTTTCTTCTTGTGTTGTGTGTTTATTTATTCTTCACGTTCTTGATATTTTAAGAGTCTTACGCGCTTAAAATCCCAACAAAATGTAATTGCATAATAAGGTATATATGAGTGATACTCCCTTTTGTTTCCAAGTTAAGTTGCATTTTATTATTTACAGAGTAAAATTTTATTCATTTTCTTTTTTATTTTCATTACTCATTTGATAAAATAATATATAGTCATGCCACCTCTTATTCCTTATAACTTTTGATGTAGTTTTTTATTTTTCTTCAGTTTCCTAATATCTTGTATTTAAAACAACTTTAGTCAAACATTATAAACTGATGTGTGTATTTGGGCTAGGTTATTTTTGGGCCTGAATTCAGATCTTGGATTGAGAAAGGGTGGCGCCAGGCTGTTTTTTAATATGCTAGCTAATACATAGGGCGGCTAGAGTATTGCATAGGGTGGCAAAATTAATGATGAAAAAAAACTTTGGGGATTGTGTGCACTCTATTAGTCTATTTACACGTCACACACCACTTTTTATGAGCCCAAATTACTGTTGTCCATTTATTGCTTTAGATTTTATAAAATCTTAGTGTACATGAATATTAAATGTAAAAGATTCTCCCATCACTCCTAAAACATTATTTAACCCAACAAAGATTTGCAATAAAAATATTACTCTCTCCGTCCACCTAAGATCTCCCATTACGCGTTACGAGGCTTGACCGACTTTATTTTTAATTCAATTTAATTGATTATAGGAGTAAAATTTTAAAATAAAATTTATATAGTAATAAATTACATAAAAAGTTCTATAAAACTAGAGGTGACAAGACTATATTATTTTATGAAATTACTAGTAAAATTGAGCAAACAAAGTGAGTGAAGTTTGACCCAGTAAATAGTGACTGGAAAGATCTATGGTGGACGGAGTATATGGTATTTGATTTGCAAATTTTTTGAGCTACGTGCCTTGCATCGAGCCGTGTAAAAAGTGAAAGGGGGAGGTGGCAGCAGCAACATCAAATCAGGGTACAACCCACACATTAATTTAATACATTAATTACTAAGCTCACAATATAAATAGACTTAAATTTAACATTTTCAATGTCCACTCTCCAGGGCATACTTCTTCACCTTCAAGGTTTGCAACTTCATCTTCTTTGCATTATTAATTGTTCTTCCTCTTAGAAAGATTCTTTTTTGCTTTTTTTGCTATGTGATTGCAGATTACACGTGGATCGAACTTCACAAATTCAAACCAACTCGATCATGTTTAAAGACTTAGATACAAACAAAAGATACAAACAGTGAAACAATACACGTACCACTTTGATGGCAGTGCACCATAAACACTACGTTCAATTCTTTTTCAATTTTGAAGAATTAAAGATAAATAAATACGGAGTACTCAATATTGCGATTACATTAATGACTTTAATAAACTAGATTACTTAGTATTTCCAGTTTACTTTTCAAATCTTTTTTGAAGACCTTAAAAACTATGAATGGTGCATTAGAAATTAGAATTATGATATTTTTTTAAATAGATGAAGGGTGTTTCTTATGAAAAAGCCGTGTAATTTTTTAGTTTAAGATTCAAGGCTCAAATGAATCCATTACATTAAGCTTTTTGTTCTAAATAAATTTTATATTAGTCAATTGTCTTACATAAGATAGTGTAAAAATTACCTTAGAAAAATAATGAAGAGTATTTTCCAAATAACCAGTTTTGATATATAGTCCTTGAAATAGCTATTCATAGTGCAAGTTTAAATAAATTTATATAAATCCAGTGAATAATTTTGAGTTGAGAAGACAAACACAGTGTCTAATGTCAAGATTACCTTTATGATTGGCATGAACATATGCGTCTTAGAGTGAACCTACAAACCAAAAAATGACATTAGTTTCAATTGGAAATTTCAATTAAAATTAAAAAAATCTTTGGAGTAAAAACGTGTGGATTCATAGCCCTTATTGTCAATAAATAGTTTCTGCTACTTTCATATTAAGTCTGTTTATATAGCATGCGTTTATTTTAGATTTACACAAAAAAACATATCTAGATTTGCATGTCAAATTATACTTTATGAAATGGTTAAACAAATTTGAAGATAGGTGGATGAAGTTTCTGAGGATTTTTTGTAAGAACATACTAAAATCCAGAAATTTTGATAAACTAATATCAAACAAGAAAAAAACAGATCTAAGAAAAACTCAGGAAAATTTAGAACAAGGGGATATATAAAAATAAAAATACTAAACATCAAAAGAAAATCAGTATTTCAAAGTGGAAGAAATGGAACACTATGCCTACCTCCGACAGTCGTTTCCCGGCGTGCACCTCCAACAAGTTACCGGGGCAAGAAATAGATGGTCACGAGTGATGGTGTACCGGCGCAATTAACAGGTGGATTCGGCCGTCGTTTCTATTCTTTGATGGAGAACTCTAGAGAGAGAGAGATAAAGCTTAGTTGGTCGACAAAATTGAGAGGAAAATGAGATCTCGGCCAAACTGAGAGGAAAATTCTAGAGAACCAGAGGAAAATGGAAGACTCTAGAGAGAGAGATAAAGCTAGAGAATTAGGGATGTTAGAGGAAAATGGGTTATCACGATAAGTAGGATAAAGAAATGAAGCCCAAATTCAAAGGGGTCCATTATATTTTAATGGTTCATACCATCAAAAAATGTTATTTCAATCAAAAAAATTTACACTAATTTTTTCATTATAAACTATTACGCTAGCATTACACTAGCACAATATATTGATGCATGTTTTCAAAGTACAAAGTATGGTACAATTTTTGGGTACATATAGTTTATATACTCCGTATTGTGTTCTAAAAATTTACTCCCTCTATCTATTTAAATTATATTTTTCCATTTAATTATGAGGCAAAGTCCAAAATCAAATTTTTGAAAAATTGGAAAATGAATAATTAATAAAATCAATATCTACCTCGGTGTCTTAATATTTGTCCAATTTTAGCTATTTACAATCAACTATTTAAAATCATAAAGAACTAGATAAAACGATATTTTATAAAAACATTATAAAACAAACCTAATAATATCATATCCATATTCAATTTGACTAAATCCGCCCAATTTATGATTAATTGACAATATTACCCAAAACAATTATTTGTATCTAAACTCTCTTTTGTATATTTAAGGATAAAATTATTAATTTATCGCAAATGGAGTGTTTTTAGTCAAAATGGTTGTATATTTAACAACATCCCACTATTTTCATATCAACATTATTTTCAATTTTATTTAAGTACTGGTCAAAGTTTGTTATTTGACCGTAAAAAGTCAAAACTAAAACAAATATTCATAAATAGAGGTAGTAAAAGACTACATCGAAAGTTCTATATAACAAGAAATCATAAGAATATTTTATTTTATCAAATAAGGAGTAATACAAAATACAACAAACAAAATTTATCGAGAGGTATGTTCTAAAAAATTACAATCAATTTTGAAATAGAGGCATTAGATTGTATTTTTCGTGTCATAATAGTCTCTTCGTTCCGTATTAATGTTTGTGAATGAGTCGAGTTTGTAGTTTATAATAATAAAATTATATCGTTGAAAGTTGTACAAAGAAGGGAGAATGATCTAAATCCCAACAAGTTTTCTTAATATGGAAAGTGAAATTCTATTTACGATGGATAAAAAAGATATTAATGAACATTGTTACGAGATGGAGGAAGTATGAAATTTGTCAAATTAGATTAATTTTTGCAATTGCTAACTATATCAATCAACAAGCACTGGACAGAAACGAGGGGTAGGATTTACGGATACAACTAGGAAAAGCTTTAATATCAAGTAAAATTTTATGAAATCATTTACTTAAACTGTGTAAACAAGATTGCAAGTTAACACTTTAAGACTCGTGTATACAAGTAACCGTGACCCATAAGCATTAAGTAACCAATAACCAATAACCATATCGATTTTTAATTATGATCGGGTATACGTTCCTACTTCAGAGCAACCAATAACCATGTTAAAGATTTTTAATTGTAATTAAAAAAAGACCAACATCCTATAATACTAAAAATATACTACTAATTTACAAAAAAGTTTTTCAAATAGTACTTGGACGTTATATTGGAAAAATTCTCCATGGAAAATAGTATGTAAAACATTAGTTTTTTATATTTTCATAATTAACTAAAGTTACTAGCACCTTGATTTAGAAGTTAACATAAATTAATCACACCAAAATAAATAATCCGTTATTTACAATAAAAGAACTGGCCGTGTAACGCACGGGTACGAGCTTCTGATGTCCCAAATCATGAACTAAAGTTGAAGATTGGAACACCCATTATGTTCTTGAGAAAGATTGATCAATCATAAGGTCTCTACGATGAAACAAGATTGATATACCTCGACTCGACAATCATCTTATTCAAGACACAATGATAACAGGAAAAAATGTCTCAAAACAACTGTTATCCCACGATTGTCGCTTACACCGTCAGATGCAAGAATTCATTTTCAAAAGAAATAATTCTCAATCATGACTTCATATACAATGACTATTAACAAAAGTGAAAGTCAATCTTTGTCTCATGTTGGATTGCTACTAAAGAAATTGGTATTCAGCCATGATCAACTCTATGTTGCAATTTCACATGTTGCAAGCCGCGAAGGGTTAAAAATCTTGATTTGCAATAAAGATCTTCCGTCTTCCAACCAAATTACGAATGTAGTTTATAAAAAAGTGTTCCAAAACTTAAAACACTTCATATCGACTACAGTCCTTGCTGTACACTACCTTATTTTGGGCCATTTTAATAAAATTTGTAATTTGTATATCATTTTCTATTATTCCAAATCAAGACTAAATATAAGTAATTTTACAGCCCGTGCATCGCACGGGTACGAGTCTAGTCCCAACAAAATGTAATTGCATAATAAGGTATATATGAGTGATACTCCCTTTTGTCCCCAAGTTAAGTTGCATTTTATTATTTACAGAGTAAAATTTTATTCATTTTCTTTTTTATTTTCATTACTCATTTGATAAAATAATATATAGTCATGCCACCTCTTATTCCTTATAACTTTTGATGTAGTTTTTTAATTTTTCTTCAGTTTCCTAATATCTTGTATTTAAAACAACTTTAGTCAAAAATTATAAACTGATGTGTGTATCTACGCCTTGCGTCTCCTTACCTTTGACAACTACAAAATACTCACCGCGAAAGATGGGGAATTAAACATAGAGTGCAAAGGAACAATTGACCTTGGACGGAAAAACCTCAACTAGTCAAGCAATTGAAGGTTCAAGGCTCCAATTAGCTGATCAAGTACGTATTAATAACTTGCAAAAAAGTATAAGAAAAAATAAAAGAAAAGATAGAGGTCGTAATTTTATAAGCAAGAAAGTCTAAATAATTTTATTTTTGTCGGGGAAAGTTTTCACCTTTTTTAAGTCTCTCATTTAGTTTTCCTCACATTTTTCACTTTTGAAAATCAATTAAGCTATTTGCCATCTTGAACCCTAAAAGTTGTACTCCAAATTATACACTTTTATTTTGTGCACTGTGATGTTAGGGTGATTGTTTACACATTTATAAAATGCTAGTGCAAAATTTTTTTGTATACACTATAATGCCAGTGCAAACCATCAAAATATTAGTGGATAACTTTGTTGTACATTTTAAAGTGCATTCCATAGAATATCTCTAGCATAATTGTTTGAAAATAAACACTCCGTCTCCATGCTACGTACTCAGATCATGTGCTAATTTAAACGATGTCTATATTGAGTAACTAGAATTAGTCAAATATTGCGACTTTTTAGATGGAGTAAGTTATACGGAGTAATTAATCTCCGTAGCTAATAGGGGTACGGTGTTCATCGGTCCTGAACCGGATTGAATTGGACCGAAGACCGGTTCGAGAAAAAATTGAGACCGAAGACCGGACCTATTAGTAATCGGTTTTGGAAGACCGGACCGAAATAGCATAGACCGGACCAAAATAGCATAGACCGAACCGATTTAGACCCAATGGACCGAAAAAGAAAAAAATTCAATGTGAGTTTAAATTGTTTAAACCTAAATAAATAATGTAATAACTATGTGCTGCGTAGGGAGAAGAAACTACAGGAAAGAGAAAAAAATTTAGAAGAAGAAATTCAACACAACATACTCTAATCCAAAACTAAAACATCAATACTAAAATTTGGCACCAAATACAAAACATACTCAAATCCAGACAACTAATAGCAAGAAATCCAAAAAAAAGGAAGAAGATTTTGAATACTGATCCAACGGAGGCGGAAGTATTGACTCTTTGTGTGTCATTGGTTAGAGAATAGTATGAACAGATATTACCTTGTAATGAAGGTTGAAGTCAATAACATTTAAGAAAACTCATCGGTCCATTCAGTCGGGACCAAAATAATAGTATCATATTTGGACCAGACCAGGCGAAACCAGATAACATAAATAATGGAGACCAAAAACCGACCTGAAATCTACTCGGTCCGAGTTCGGTCCGGACCTATCGGTCCAGTTCAGTCGGTTTTTTCAGTCCGGACCTAAACTTGAACTACCCTAGTAGCCAAGACTTCTTGTTCCAATACTCCCTAGTATTTAAGATGGTGATTAACAGTATCTATATGATCACCCTACACTAGAAAGATATTCTCCTTCAATTCCTCCGTCGTATGTACGTATAGTATAGTTAATAATTAAGAATAGCAAGAAAAAAAATGAAGAAAATAATAACAGTATTTGTGTTTCTTTTGTTTCTCCTTCACATCATCTCACACTGCAATGCCGACGACGACGGCGGCTCCGACTGGGCGGCGACATCCCCCAAGGAACAAAACTTCGGTGCTAAAAATAATAATATTATTATTATTTACGTTGGGGTAATTATAATAGTATTGTGCATTAGCATTATTGTTTTAACCATTTCTCTGTGCAAACGTTGTCGTAAATCAGAAGAATCATCAGGCCCGAGCCCAGGTACGATACGCAACAGTATCTCTCGCTGTTTTTTTTATCCACTATTTTTCAATTTTGTACCAAAAAAAAAACAATGAAGGCCCTCATGCAAAAATATATTTCGACTTTATATTCTGTTAGTTTTGGGTGAGTAATATAATGTTGTTTGAAATTACTGATGGATAAAGCTATTTGCACCCAAATTTTTTGTACCCCACTTTGTACTCTGGAGGTTTGCACAAACATTTTGTGTTGGTGTAAAATTACTTTTTATTAATGCATCAACACTTTATGTCCGTGTAAATTTTTGTTAACGGACCAACACTTGTGTCGGTGTAAACCATCAAAATGTTTGTGTATAACTGCGGGATGCAAATGGGATACAATTTTTTGTGTAAGTGTAGCATGGTCCATTACTAATCTATTTAAACATTGAACTTATGAGAATATTCGGGTCTCTTCGATATTTAAGCAAGAGCAAATTCGATAAAAGGTCTTCAGTTATAATTCGTTTTACATATTTAGTCCTTACATATCAAATATCAATAATTTAGTCCTCAATTATTATATTATTTTCCATGAATGTTCCTTTGTTAACATTTTTGTTAAAAACGTGTATAAAATTATAAATTTACACTTCTCTCTCCTTTAACACTTCTTTCCCAA